CAGGACCACATAATGCAAAGAAATACGAGGCAGTTCCCTCCCACACGAGGACCCACCCAAATGAGAAAAACCCCCCTAACCTCATACAGGGCCCCCTACCCCAAAGAGCAAAAAGAACACCAAGGCCCATACCAGAAAAGGAGGCCAATTCACAAACAGAACCACCCACAAATGTGGAGGAGAGCCCCACAAGAACAAGAGTGGAGGCAAGAAAGGGTATACCACCACAGGAGCCACCCGCACCAAAGACATACAGACCAAAACCCCCACTGGATAAGCCACCCCCAGCCATGGAGGCCACCTCAGAGACAGGGAAGATTTCCTCAAAGAGGAAACTACCACTGGGCTCAAGGGAAAGCAGGAGGAAGGCAGTGGCAAGAAGGAGGGTACGGCAGATGGGGATGGAATTAATAGTATCTGAGGTGCCCATGACCAGAACCCAACTCTCTGTTCTCAGTAAGGGAAGATCCTTTGTACCAGGCCCTCCTCCAAAGAAAGCTCTCCTGGAAAACCTAGGGAATTCAATGAATAGATTGAAAGAACAAATAAACAAAAGATTTACAGATTCCCTCCTACCAGGACAAGAAATTGAAGATACATTCAATAAAAAGAGGAATTTGCCCAAACAACTCCCGATGAAACAGAGAGAGAGCATTCCTACTAAAAACTCCCAGGGTTGGAAACAATGAATCCATTGTGAAACCATGGAGGTAGGAGAAAAGATCCTAAAGGCTGCCATTCTAACATGACTAAAAGAGAAAAGAAAAGAAAGAAACAAAGAAAAGTAAATGAAGGAAAATGGACCTTTCCTCATCCCAAAATGTCTCATTCCTTTTAAAATACAGGAGGAGACAGTTAAAATTTAAGTTCTATGAGCACTAAAAGAGAAAAGAAAAGAAAGAAACAGGGAGAAGAAAATAATACTTAGAAAATTGAAAGAAAAAGTAAATAATACTTAGAAAATTGAAAGAAAAAGTAAATAAAGGAAAATGGACCTTTCCTCAGTACAGTTTGTCTCCTTTCTTTTTAAATACAGGAGGAGACAGTTAAAATTTAAGTTCTATGAGCACTAAAAGAGAAAAGAAAAGAAAGAAACAGGGAGAAGAAAATAATACTTAGAAAATTGAAAGAAAAAGTAAATAAAGGAAAATGGACCTTTCCTCATCCCAAAATGTCTCATTCCTTTTAAAATACAGGAGGAGACAGATAAAATTAAAGTTCTATGAGCAATAAAAGAGAAAAGAAAAGAAAGAAACATTGATTAGAAAATAATACTTAGAAAATTGAAAGAAAAAGTAAATAAAGGAAAATGGACCTTTCCTCAGTACAGTTTGTCTCCTTTCTTTTGAAATACAGGAGGAGACAGATAAAATTAAAGTTCTATGAGCAATAAAAGAGAAAAGAAAAGAAAGAAACAAAGAAAAGTAAATAATACTTAGAAAATTGAAAGAAAAAGTAAATAATACTTAGAAAATTGAAAGAAAAAGTAAATAAAGGAAAATGGACCTTTCCTCAGTACAGTTTGTCTCCTTTCTTTTGAAATACAGGAGGAGACAGTTAAAATTTAAGTTCTATGAGCAATAAAAGAGAAAAGAAAAGAAAGAAACAAAGAAAAGTAAATAATACTTAGAAAATTGAAAGAAAAAGTAAATAATACTTAGAAAATTGAAAGAAAAAGTAAATAATACTTAGAAAATTGAAAGAAAAAGTAAATAAAGGAAAATGGACCTTTCCTCAGTACAGTTTGTCTCCTTTCTTTTGAAATACAGGAGGAGACAGTTAAAATTTAAGTTCTATGAGCAATAAAAGAGAAAAGAAAAGAAAGAAACAAAGAAAAGTAAATAAAGGAAAATGGACCTTTCCTCAGTACAGTTTGTCTCCTTTCTTTTGAAATACAGGAGGAGACAGTTAAAATTTAAGTTCTATGAGCACTAAAAGAGAAAAGAAAAAAATCAGAGATAACAAAAAAGAAAAAAAGTAAATAAAGGAAAATGGACCTTTCCTCAGTACAGTTTGTCTCCTTTCATTTTAAATACAGGAGGAGACAGTTAAAATTTAAGTTCTATGAGCACTAAAAGAGAAAAGAAAAGAAAGAAACAGGGAGAAGAAAATAATACTTAGAAAATTGAAAGAAAAAGTAAATAAAGGAAAATGGACCTTTCCTCATCCCAAAATGTCTCATTCCTTTTAAAATACAGGAGGAGACAGTTAAAATTTAAGTTCTATGAGCAATAAAAGAGAAAAGAAAAGAAAGAAACAGGGAGAAGAAAATAATACTTAGAAAATTGAAAGAAAAAGTAAATAATACTTAGAAAATTGAAAGAAAAAGTAAATAAAGGAAAATGGACCTTTCCTCAGTACAGTTTGTCTCCTTTCATTTGAAATACAGGAGGAGACAGTTAAAATTTAAGTTCTATGAGCACTAAAAGAGAAAAGAAAAGAAAGAAACAGGGAGGAGAAAATAATACTTAGAAAATTGAAAGAAAAAGTAAATAATACTTAGAAAATTGAAAGAAAAAGTAAATAATACTTAGAAAATTGAAAGAAAAAGTAAATAAAGGAAAATGGACCTTTCCTCAGTACAGTTTGTCTCCTTTCTTTTGAAATACAGGAGGAGACAGTTAAAATTTAAGTTCTATGAGCACTAAAAGAGAAAAGAAAAGAAAGAAACAAAGAAAAGTAAATAATACTTAGAAAATTGAAAGAAAAAGTAAATGAAGGAAAATGGACCTTTCCTCATCCCAAAATGTCTCATTCCTTTTAAAATACAGGAGGAGACAGATAAAATTAAAGTTCTATGAGCAATAAAAGAGAAAAGAAAAGAAAGAAACAAAGAAAAGTAAATAATACTTAGAAAATTGAAAGGAAAAGTAAATAATACTTAGAAAATTGAAAGAAAAAGTAAATAATACTTAGAAAATTGAAAGAAAAAGTAAATAAAGGAAAATGGACCTTTCCTCAGTACAGTTTGTCTCCTTTCTTTTGAAATACAGGAGGAGACAGTTAAAATTTAAGTTCTATGAGCACTAAAAGAGAAAAGAAAAAAATCAGAGATAACAAAAAAGAAAAAAAGTAAATGAAGGAAAATGGACCTTTCCTCATCCCAAAATGTCTCATTCCTTTTAAAATACAGGAGGAGACAGATAAAATTAAAGTTCTATGAGCAATAAAAGAGAAAAGAAAAGAAAGAAACAAAGAAAAGTAAATAATACTTAGAAAATTGAAAGGAAAAGTAAATAAAGGAAAATGGACCTTTCCTCAGTACAGTTTGTCTCCTTTCTTTTGAAATACAGGAGGAGACAGTTAAAATTTAAGTTCTATGAGCACTAAAAGAGAAAAGAAAAGAAAGAAACAGGGAGAAGAAAATAATACTTAGAAAATTGAAAGAAAAAGTAAATAAAGGAAAATGGACCTTTCCTCAGTACAGTTTGTCTCCTTTCTTTTGAAATACAGGAGGAGACAGTTAAAATTTAAGTTCTATGAGCAATAAAAGAGAAAAGAAAAGAAAGAAACAAAGAAAAGTAAATAATACTTAGAAAATTGAAAGGAAAAGTAAATAAAGGAAAATGGACCTTTCCTCAGTACAGTTTGTCTCCTTTCTTTTGAAATACAGGAGGAGACAGTTAAAATTTAAGTTCTATGAGCAATAAAAGAGAAAAGAAAAGAAAGAAACAAAGAAAAGTAAATAATACTTAGAAAATTGAAAGGAAAAGTAAATAAAGGAAAATGGACCTTTCCTCAGTACAGTTTGTCTCCTTTCTTTTGAAATACAGGAGGAGACAGTTAAAATTTAAGTTCTATGAGCACTAAAAGAGAAAAGAAAAGAAAGAAACAGGGAGAAGAAAATAATACTTAGAAAATTGAAAGAAAAAGTAAATAATACTTAGAAAATTGAAAGAAAAAGTAAATAATACTTAGAAAATTGAAAGAAAAAGTAAATAATACTTAGAAAATTGAAAGAAAAAGTAAATAATACTTAGAAAATTGAAAGAAAAAGTAAATAAAGGAAAATGGACCTTTCCTCAGTACAGTTTGTCTCCTTTCTTTTGAAATACAGGAGGAGACAGTTAAAATTTAAGTTCTATGAGCAATAAAAGAGAAAAGAAAAGAAAGAAACAGGGAGAAGAAAATAATACTTAGAAAATTGAAAGAAAAAGTAAATAAAGGAAAATGGACCTTTCCTCAGTACAGTTTGTCTCCTTTCTTTTGAAATACAGGAGGAGACAGTTAAAATTTAAGTTCTATGAGCACTAAAAGAGAAAAGAAAAGAAAGAAACAAAGAAAAGTAAATAATACTTAGAAAATTGAAAGAAAAAGTAAATAATACTTAGAAAATTGAAAGAAAAAGTAAATAAAGGAAAATGGACCTTTCCTCAGTACAGTTTGTCTCCTTTCTTTTGAAATACAGGAGGAGACAGTTAAAATTTAAGTTCTATGAGCACTAAAAGAGAAAAGAAAAGAAAGAAACAAAGAAAAGTAAATAATACTTAGAAAATTGAAAGAAAAAGTAAATAAAGGAAAATGGACCTTTCCTCATCCCAAAATGTCTCATTCCTTTTAAAATACAGGAGGAGACAGTTAAAATTTAAGTTCTATGAGCAATAAAAGAGAAAAGAAAAGAAAGAAACAGGGAGAAGAAAATAATACTTAGAAAATTGAAAGAAAAAGTAAATAAAGGAAAATGGACCTTTCCTCAGTACAGTTTGTCTCCTTTCTTTTGAAATACAGGAGGAGACAGTTAAAATTTAAGTTCTATGAGCACTAAAAGAGAAAAGAAAAGAAAGAAACAGGGAGAAGAAAATAATACTTAGAAAATTGAAAGAAAAAGTAAATAATACTTAGAAAATTGAAAGAAAAAGTAAATAAAGGAAAATGGACCTTTCCTCAGTACAGTTTGTCTCCTTTCTTTTTAAATACAGGAGGAGACAGTTAAAATTTAAGTTCTATGAGCACTAAAAGAGAAAAGAAAAGAAAGAAACAGGGAGAAGAAAATAATACTTAGAAAATTGAAAGAAAAAGTAAATAAAGGAAAATGGACCTTTCCTCAGTACAGTTTGTCTCCTTTCTTTTGAAATACAGGAGGAGACAGTTAAAATTTAAGTTCTATGAGCACTAAAAGAGAAAAGAAAAGAAAGAAACAGGGAGGAGAAAATAATACTTAGAAAATTGAAAGAAAAAGTAAATAAATGAAAATGGACCTTTCCTCAGTACAGTTTGTCTCCTTTCTTTTGAAATACAGGAGGAGACAGTTAAAATTTAAGTTCTATGAGCACTAAAAGAGAAAAGAAAAAAATCAGAGATAACAAAAAAGAAAAAAAGTAAATAAAGGAAAATGGACCTTTCCTCAGTACAGTTTGTCTCCTTTCTTTTGAAATACAGGAGGAGACAGTTAAAATTTAAGTTCTATGAGCAATAAAAGAGAAAAGAAAAGAAAGAAACAAAGAAAAGTAAAAAATACTTAGAAAATTGAAAGAAAAAGTAAATAAAGGAAAATGGACCTTTCCTCAGAACAGTTTGTCTCCTTTCTTTTGAAATACAGGAGGAGACAGATAAAATTAAAGTTCTATGAGCAATAAAAGAGAAAAGAAAAGAAAGAAACAAAGAAAAGTAAATAATACTTAGAAAATTGAAAGGAAAAGTAAATAAAGGAAAATGGACCTTTCCTCAGAACAGATTGTCTCCTTTCTTTTGAAATACAGGAGGAGACAGTTAAAATTTAAGTTCTATGAGCACTAAAAGAGAAAAAGAAACGAAAGAAGAAACAACGAAAAGTAAAAAATACTTAGAAATTGAAAGAAAAGTAAATAAAGGAAACTGGACCTTTCCTCAGCACAGATGTCTCCGTTCATTTGAAATACAGGAGGAGACAGTTAAAATTTAAGGTTCTATGAGCACTAAAAGAGAAAAGAAAAGAAAGAAACAGGGAGAAGAAATAATACGTAGAAAATTGAAAGAAAAATTAAATAAATGGAAATGGGACCTGTCCTCAGTACAGTTTGTCTCCTTTCTTTTGAAATACAGGAGGAGACAGATTTAATTTAAGTTTCAAAAGATAAAAACAAGAGTTTTTCCACAAATACTCTAAATACTTTTTATACAATGAAGAAATTTATAATATAAAAAAGACAGATTAAGTCCCAAGAAGGAGAGAGCAGGAGAGGCAGAGTTGAGGTGACCGCCCAGGCAGAGGGCAGCAAAGGAACTGGGGAACATGGCCACCCTCACCCAGAGCGCAGAAATCCTATGCAGTTATTTCAGAGATAATTATGTTTTCCAGGATTTCCTTAATTTACTGGTTTTATTTTCATTTTTATTTTATAGAGATATTAGTTTTACAATCTCTAAAATTTAGAAAACCAGTTTATAAGCTCTGTTCAGCTTTTTACAGCCTTTACTCCTTGCCGATATTCCACCGAAATAGTTCGATGCAACATAACCTCGGCTACCCAGAAATCTTGTACTTTAGGAAGATCTTTCAGATCTTTTTATTCTTTTTCAGTGATAGCCGTATTATCATCATATTTTACTGATCAACTAAGCAAAGATAGACCGCCCAATTTTTATAAAAACGGAAAGAAACAGAAAAGGACCAAAATACAATACCACAGAACCACAAACAGCCTCAAGCAGGTGGAAAAGCTCCCCAGGACCACATAATGCAAAGAAATACGAGGCAGTTCCCTCCCACACGAGGACCCACCCAAATGAGAAAAACCCCCCTAACCTCATACAGGGCCCCCTACCCCAAAGAGCAAAAAGAACACCAAGGCCCATACCAGAAAAGGAGGCCAGTTCACAAACAGAACCACCCACAAATGTGGAGGAGAGCCCCACAGGAACAAGAGTGGAGGCAAGAAAGGGTATACCACCACAGGAGCCACCCGCACCAAAGACATACAGACCAAAACCCCCACTGGATAAGCCACCCCCAGCCATGGAGGCCACCTCAGAGACAGGGAAGATTTCCTCAAAGAGGAACTACCACTGGGCTCAAGGGAACAGCAGGAGGAAGGCATGTGGCCAGAAGGAGGGTACGGCAGTGGGGATGGAATTAATTGTATCCTGAAGTGCCCATGACCAGAAACCAACTCTCTGTTCTCAGTAAGGGAAGATCCTTTGTACCAGGCCCTCCTCCAAAGAAAGCTCTCCTGGAAAACCTAGGGAATTCAATGAATAGATTGAAAGAACAAATAAACAAAAGATTTACAGATTCCCTCCTACCAGGACAAGAAATTGAAGATACATTCAATAAAAAGAGGAGAAATTTGCCCAAACAACTCCCGATGAAACAGAGAGAGAGCATTCCTACTAAAAAACTCCCAGGGTTGGAAACAATGATCCATTGTGAAACCATGGAGGTAGGAGAAAAGATCCTAAAAGGCTGCCATTCTAACATGACTAAAAGAGAAAGAGAGACTCTTAAAGATCTGGCTCAAAACCCAGACTTAGTCATTAAAAAAGCAGACAAAGATGGAGCTCTAGTGGTTCTAAAGAAAGAAAGTTACATAACAATGGGTGAAGCACATTTATCAGATACTGAAACATACATCCCTCTAGAGAACCCAGAGGAAGCCCTACAGGCAGTAAAAAGAGAAAGCAAGATCCTAGTAAACCGCTTTTACACATTAGATACCTCAGGAAAAAATGGAGGAAACAGAAGAAGTTTTCTGGCAGGTCAAAGAGATGCATTACTAGAACATGAACCCATAATCCCCCACTGGTATATACTACCAAAAACCCATAAGAAAAAAGACCCAGAGACAGGCCTATGGCCAGGTAGACCAGTGTTAAGTGGATGTAATGCACCTACAAGACCCGTAGATAGATTGCTAACAACCTATCTCACCCCCTTGCTAGACCTCCTACCTGAGAGATTGCAAGATACCACAGCTTTTCTAAAGAAAATAACCACACTACCAAGGTTTCCTACAGACTCTATTATCTTCTCATTTGATATAGTGTCATTGTACCCCTCCATCCCACAGGAGGAAGCATCTTGGATTGTGGCAAATTTCTATGAAAAGAACTTTGCATATGTCAAGGAAAGATTAAAAACAGAATATAATATGATAGCCCCACCCCCGTACCTAATAAAAGAAGGAATAGATCATGTCTTGCAAGGCACACTACTAAGGTTCAACAACCACTTCTATAACCAAGGCAAAGGAACAGCAATTGGAGCCTCTGTCTCAGTAGCCATAGCTGAAATCTTTGTACATGCTAGTATAGAAGGAAAGAGACACCACAAATCCAAAAAGAAAAAGCAAAGAAAAACCCAGAAACATGGATGTCTCTCAAAAAGTATGCTAAAAGGAAAACAGAGGAAATAAAAAGGAAAAGTAAGAAAACACAACCAAAAAACGGAAAGAAACAGAAAAGGACCAAAATACAATACCACAGAACCACAAACAGCCTCAAGCAGGTGGAAAAGCTCCCCAGGACCACATAATGCAAAGAAATACGAGGCAGTTCCCTCCCACACGAGGACCCACCCAAATGAGAAAAACCCCCCTAACCTCATACAGGGCCCCCTACCCCAAAGAGCAAAAAGAACACCAAGGCCCATACCAGAAAAGGAGGCCAGTTCACAAACAGAACCACCCACAAATGTGGAGGAGAGCCCCACAGGAACAAGAGTGGAGGCAAGAAAGGGTATACCACCACAGGAGCCACCCGCACCAAAGACATACAGACCAAAACCCCCACTGGATAAGCCACCCCCAGCCATGGAGGCCACCTCAGAGACAGGGAAGATTTCCTCAAAGAGGAAACTACCACTGGGCTCAAGGGAAAGCAGGAGGAAGGCAGTGGCAAGAAGGAGGGTACGGCAGATGGGGATGGAATTAATAGTATCTGAGGTGCCCATGACCAGAACCCAACTCTCTGTTCTCAGTAAGGGAAGATCCTTTGTACCAGGCCCTCCTCCAAAGAAAGCTCTCCTGGAAAACCTAGGGAATTCAATGAATAGATTGAAAGAACAAATAAACAAAAGATTTACAGATTCCCTCCTACCAGGACAAGAAATTGAAGATACATTCAATAAAAAGAGGAGAAATTTGCCCAAACAACTCCCGATGAAACAGAGAGAGAGCATTCCTACTAAAAAACTCCCAGGGTTGGAAACAATGATCCATTGTGAAACCATGGAGGTAGGAGAAAAGATCCTAAAAGGCTGCCATTCTAACATGACTAAAAGAGAAAAGAAAAGAAAGAAACAAAGAAAAGTAAATAAAGGAAAATGGACCTTTCCTCATCCCAAAATGTCTCCTTCCATTTTAAATACAGGAGGAGACAGTTAAAATTTAAGTTCTATGAGCACTAAAAGAGAAAAGAAAAGAAAGAAACAGGGAGAAGAAAATAATACTTAGAAAATTGAAAGAAAAAGTAAATAATACTTAGAAAATTGAAAGAAAAAGTAAATAAAGGAAAATGGACCTTTCCTCAGTACAGTTTGTCTCCTTTCTTTTGAAATACAGGAGGAGACAGATAAAATTAAAGTTCTATGAGCAATAAAAGAGAAAAGAAAAGAAAGAAACAAAGAAAAGTAAATAATACTTAGAAAATTGAAAGGAAAAGTAAATAAAGGAAAATGGACCTTTCCTCAGTACAGTTTGTCTCCTTTCTTTTGAAATACAGGAGGAGACAGTTAAAATTTAAGTTCTATGAGCACTAAAAGAGAAAAGAAAAGAAAGAAACAGGGAGAAGAAAATAATACTTAGAAAATTGAAAGAAAAAGTAAATAATACTTAGAAAATTGAAAGAAAAAGTAAATAAAGGAAAATGGACCTTTCCTCAGTACAGTTTGTCTCCTTTCTTTTGAAATACAGGAGGAGACAGATAAAATTAAAGTTCTATGAGCAATAAAAGAGAAAAGAAAAGAAAGAAACAAAGAAAAGTAAATAATACTTAGAAAATTGAAAGGAAAAGTAAATAAAGGAAAATGGACCTTTCCTCAGAACAGATTGTCTCCTTTCTTTTGAAATACAGGAGGAGACAGTTAAAATTTAAGTTCTATGAGCACTAAAAGAGAAAAGAAAAGAAAGAAACAAAGAAAAGTAAATAATACTTAGAAAATTGAAAGAAAAAGTAAATGAAGGAAAATGGACCTTTCCTCATCCCAAAATGTCTCATTCCTTTTAAAATACAGGAGGAGACAGATAAAATTAAAGTTCTATGAGCAATAAAAGAGAAAAGAAAAGAAAGAAACAGGGAGAAGAAAATAATACTTAGAAAATTGAAAGAAAAAGTAAATAAATGAAAATGGACCTTTCCTCAGTACAGTTTGTCTCCTTTCTTTTGAAATACAGGAGGAGACAGTTAAAATTTAAGTTCTATGAGCACTAAAAGAGAAAAGAAAAGAAAGAAACAGGGAGAAGAAAATAATACTTAGAAAATTGAAAGAAAAAGTAAATAAAGGAAAATGGACCTTTCCTCAGTACAGTTTGTCTCCTTTCTTTTGAAATACAGGAGGAGACAGATAAAATTAAAGTTCTATGAGCAATAAAAGAGAAAAGAAAAGAAAGAAACAAAGAAAAGTAAATAATACTTAGAAAATTGAAAGAAAAAGTAAATAATACTTAGAAAATTGAAAGAAAAAGTAAATAATACTTAGAAAATTGAAAGAAAAAGTAAATTAAGGAAAATGGACCTTTCCTCATCACATATTGTCTCATTTCATTTTAAATACAGGAGGAGACAGTTAAAATTTAAGTTCTATGAGCACTAAAAGAGAAAAGAAAAGAAAGAAACAGGGAGAAGAAAATAATACTTAGAAAATTGAAAGAAAAAGTAAATAATACTTAGAAAATTGAAAGAAAAAGTAAATAAAGGAAAATGGACCTTTCCTCAGTACAGTTTGTCTCCTTTCTTTTGAAATACAGGAGGAGACAGATAAAATTAAAGTTCTATGAGCAATAAAAGAGAAAAGAAAAGAAAGAAACAAAGAAAAGTAAATAATACTTAGAAAATTGAAAGAAAAAGTAAATAATACTTAGAAAATTGAAAGAAAAAGTAAATAATACTTAGAAAATTGAAAGAAAAAGTAAATAAAGGAAAATGGACCTTTCCTCAGTACAGTTTGTCTCCTTTCTTTTGAAATACAGGAGGAGACAGTTAAAATTTAAGTTCTATGAGCAATAAAAGAGAAAAGAAAAGAAAGAAACAAAGAAAAGTAAATAATACTTAGAAAATTGAAAGAAAAAGTAAATGAAGGAAAATGGACCTTTCCTCATCCCAAAATGTCTCATTCCTTTTAAAATACAGGAGGAGACAGATAAAATTAAAGTTCTATGAGCAATAAAAGAGAAAAGAAAAGAAAGAAACAAAGAAAAGTAAATAATACTTAGAAAATTGAAAGGAAAAGTAAATAATACTTAGAAAATTGAAAGAAAAAGTAAATAAAGGAAAATGGACCTTTCCTCAGTACAGTTTGTCTCCTTTCTTTTGAAATACAGGAGGAGACAGATAAAATTAAAGTTCTATGAGCAATAAAAGAGAAAAGAAAAAAAATCAGAGATAACAAAAAAGAAAAAAAGTAAATGAAGGAAAATGGACCTTTCCTCATCCCAAAATTGTCTCATTCCTTTTAAAATACAGGAGGAGACAGATAAAATTAAAGTTCTATGAGCAATAAAAGAGAAAAGAAAAGAAAGAAACAAAGAAAAGTAAATAATACTTAGAAAATTGAAAGAAAAGTAAATAAAGGAAAATGGACCTTTCCTCAGCACAGATTGTCTCCTTTCATTTGAAATACAGGAGGAGACAGTTAAAATTTAAGTTCTATGAGCACTAAAAGAGAAAAGAAAAGAAAGAAACAGGGAGAAGAAAATAATACTTAGAAAATTGAAAGAAAAAAGTAAATAAATGGAAATGGACCTTTCCTCAGTACAGTTTGTCTCCTTTTCTTTTGAAATACAGGAGGAGACAGATAAAATTAAAGTTCTATGAGCAATAAAAGAGAAAAGAAAAGAAAGAAACAGGGAGAAGAAAATAATACTTAGAAAATTGAAAGAAAAAGTAAATAAAGGAAAATGGACCTTTCCTCAGTACAGTTTGTCTCATTTCATT